TCCTCCTCTCCCTCATCTTCCCTCCCCTCCTCGTCTTTCCCCCCCCCCCCCCCTCCGAGATGCGGGGCGTGCGCGAGGCGATTGCGATGGCGATGTGCAGCCCGAGCTGTGAATGTCCGAGGCTCCTGGAAGAGGTCCTTGGGCGGGAGATCTGGGCGAGGCAACGTCGGGGCCCGCGTGCCAAAACAGCCCCCCGTGATGGGGTGCGGTATCCAGAAGGACGCGTGTGGCATGTGGCAGCGTGGTGCGTGATGGTGAACCGATTGTTGTTGTTGTTGGTGTTGTTGTTGTGATATTTTTGTGTTGTTATCGTTGTTGTTGGTATCGTTGTTGTCGTGGTCTTTGTCGTTGTTGTTGTCGTTGTCGCTGTTGTCGTTGCGATTGCAGCTGTTGTTGTGGTCGTCGTCGTCGTCGTCGTCGTCGTCGTTGTTTTTGTTGTTGTTGTTGCTGTTGCTGTCGCTGTTGCTGTTGTTGTTGCTGTTGTTGTTGTTGTTGTTGTTGTTGTTGTTATTGTTGTTGTTGTTGTTAATGATGTTTATGTTGTTATTGTTCTGGTTGTCGTCGTCGTTGTTGTTGTTGCTGCTGCAGTTGTTCTTGTTGTTGGTTGCTGCTGTTGTTGATTTTGTAGTTGGTTGTTGTTGTCGTTGTTGTTGCTGCTGCTGTTGTTGTTGGTGTTATTGCTGCTGCTGTTGTTGTGGTTGCTGTTCTTGTTGTTGCTGTTGTTGTTGTCGTCGTCGTCGTTGTTGTTGTCCTCATTGTTTTCCCAGCCCTCCTGCGTTGGGTTCTCGTTTGGAATAGAACACTGTTCGCGCGAATCCCGCCCCTCTCTTCCCCCTGCCTTTTACCTGGCTCGTCGCTGCGTTTCGAGGGCTGCTGGGGGCTGCGATCTGTGAAAGTGTCGCCACTTTCGAGGGCTGCGGGGGGGGGCAGCACGGTGGGCACCCGCGGCGGATTCAAATGGGACCTCGCCATCCCTGGGGGGCTGCGATCTGTGAAACTGTCGCCACTTTCGAGGGCTGCTGGGGGGGCCCAGCGCAGTGTGCACCCGCGGCGGATTCAAATGTGACCTCGCCATCCCTGGGGGGCTGCGATCTGTCAAACTGCTGCCATTTTCGAGGGCTGCTGGGGGGCCCAGCACAGTGTGCACCCGCGGCGGATTCAAATGTGACCTCGCAAGGGCCCAGCACAGTGGGTACCCACCGCGGCTGGGGGCTGCGATCTGTGAGACTGTCGCCACTTTCGAGGCCTGCTGGGGGGCCCAGCGCAGTGGGTACTTACCGCGGACTCAAATGGGACCTCGCCATCCCTGGGGGGTTGCGATCTGTCAAACTGTCGCCACTTTCGAGGCTGCTGGGGGGTCCAGCACAGTGGGCACCCGCGGCGGATTCAAATGAGACCTCGCTATCCCTGGGGGCTGCGATCTGTGAAACTGTCGCCACTTCACTTTCGAGGGCTGCTGAGGGGCCCAGCACAGTGGGCACCCACCGCGGATTCAAATGGGACCTCGCCATCCCTGGTGGCCTGCGATATCGGAAAATGTCGCCACTTTCGAGGCCTGCTGATGGGGCCCAGCACAGTGGGCACCCACCGCGGATTCAAATGTGACCTCGCCATCCCTGGGGGGCTGCGATCTGTGAAACTGTCGCCACTTTCGAGGCCTGCTGAAGGGCCCAGCGCAGTGGGTACTCACCGCAGACTCAAATGCGACCTCGCCATCCCTGGGGGGCTGCGATCTGTGAAACCGTCGCCATCTTCGAGGGCTGCTGGGGGGCACAGCACAGTGGGTATCCACCGCAGGCTCAGATTAGACCTCGCCATCCTTGGGGGGCTGCGACCTGTGAAACTGTCGCCACGTTCGAGGGCTGCTGAGGGGCACGACACAGTGGGTACTTACCGCGGACTCAAATGGGACCTCGCCATCCCTGGGGGGCTGCGATCTGTCAAACTGTCGCCACTTTCGGGGCCTGCTGGGGGGCCCAGCGCAGTGGGCACTCACCGCGGATTCAAATGTGACCTCGCCATCCCTGGGGGGCTGCGATATGTGAAACTGTCGCCACTTTCGAGGCCTGCTGGGGGGCCCAACACAGTGGGTATTCACCGCACCCTCAATTGGGACCTCGCCATCCCTGGGGGGCTGCGATCTGTGAAACTGTCGCCACTTTCGAGGGCTGCTGGGGGGCCCAGCACAGTGGGCACTCACCGCAGACTCAGATTAGACCCCGCCATCCTTGGGGGCCTGCGATCTGTGAAACTGTCGCCACTTTCGAGGGCTGCTGAGGGGCCCAGCACAGTGGGTACTCACCGCAGATTCAGATTAGACCTCGCCATCCCTGGGGGGCTGCGATATGTGAAACCGTCGCCACTTTCGAGGGCTACAGGAGGTTGCCCTTCGGCTCGCGTTCGGAGAGCGGGTGTCGGCCGGGAGGATCCAAGGAGGAGGAGGAGGAGGAGGAGGAGGAGGAGGAGGAGGAGGAGGAGGCTGCAGCTGCTGCTGCTGCTGCTGCTGCTGCTGCTTCTCCTCTTGCTCTTCCCCTCCCCTTCTGCTTTCTTCCCAACCCTCCTGCGTTGGGTTCTCGTTTTGAATAGAGCACTGCTCGCGCGAACCTTCCCACCCCCTCCCGTCCCTCTCTTCCCCCTGCCTTTTACCTGGCTCGTCGCTGCTTTTCGAGGGCTGCTGGGGGCTGCGATCTGTGAAAGTGTCGCCACTTTCGAGGGCTGCTGGGGGGCCCAGCACAGTGGGCACCCGCGGCGGATTCAAATGGGACCTCGCCATCCCTGGGGGGCTGCGATCTGTGAAACTGTCGCCACTTTCGAGGGCTGCTGGGGGGCCCAGCACAGTGTGCACCCGCGGCGGATTCAAATGGGACCTCGCCATCCCTGGGGGGCTGCGATCTGTGAAACTGTCGCCACTTTCGAGGCCTGCTGGGGGGCCCAGCACAGTGTGCACCCGCGGCGGATTCAAATGGGACCTCGCCATCCCTGGGGGGCTGCGATCTGTGAAACTGTCGCCACTTTCGAGGGCTGCTGGGGGGCCCAGCACAGTGTGCACCCGCGGCGGATTCAAATGGGACCTCGCCATCCCTGGGGGGCTGCGATATGTGAAACTGTCGCCACTTTCGAGGGTTGCTGGGGGGCCCAGCACAGTGGGTACCCGCGGCGGATTCAAATGGGACCTCGCCATCCCTGGGGGGCTGCGATATTTGAAACTGTCGCCACTTTCGAGGGCTGCTGGGGGGCCCAGCGCAGTGGGTACCCACGGCGGATTCAAATGGGACCTCGCCATCCCTGGGGGGCTGCGATCTGTGAAACTGTCGCCACTTTCGAGGGCTGCTGGGGGGCCCAGCACAGTGGGCACCCACGGCGGATTCAAATGGGACCTCGGCATCCCTGGGGGGCTGCGATCTGTGAAACTGTCGCCACTTTCGAGGCCTGCTGGGGGGCCCAGCACAGTGGGTACCCACGGCGGATTCAAATGGGACCTCGCCATCACCGGGGGGCTGCGATCTGTAAAACTGTCGCCACTTTCGAGGCCTGCTGGGGAGCCCAGCACAGTGGGCTTCCCGCACGTTTTTCTCCTGCTCTTCGTTCCCGACTTCCCATGTCCTCTTCGAGGCTGTAGTTGTCGCCCCTCCTTCTTGTATGGTTCTCCTGCGCATCATCCCATTGGCGCGTGTCCCAAGTAGCTTACATATCAAACAACGGATCCTGCAATTTGATTGTCCGTGCAAGTTTCGGCCAACTCCTCGTTTCCCATGATACAAATGGGTTGGGTACGTCACAGGGTAATTGTTGTTTTTGTTGTTGTTGCTGCTGTTTTGTTGTTGTTGTTGTCGTTGTTGCTGTTGGTGCTGCTGTTGGTGCTGCTGGTGTTGTTGTTGATGATCATGCCCCTCATCAGGGCCAGGTTTACGTATGAGGGTTCGCTCCCCTGCCTCCTTTTCCATCCTTTTTTTGTTATTGTTGTGTGTAGTGTGGGACCCTTCCAACGCCATTATAAAGTAGTTCTCGGATAAGTTGGGTTTGAATGTTCTTGTGCATCCTGGGGGAGGGTACCCTCGAATGTTCTTCAGTTTGGGTCGGCGGAGAATTTCATGTTCTTGGAGGGTGTTATTCTGCCTAGGTCCGCCCGTATGTGAAAAAAACAAACAGCGCCCCCTGGGAGATGCTGGCCCTGTGCTCTGCGAGCCTGGGCAGCCAGAGGCAGGCGCAGGCAGGCGGCGAGCGCGTGTTGATGCAGCCGCCGTTACCGTTACCCTCCCGTCGGACCCCCCCCACCACCCGAGTAACGAGCGTTACCCAGGGATATCAAAAAACGGTCACCTGCCCACGTCCAGCTCTATTTGATGTCCGCCACTGAGTGCCGTCCGTCCCTGGAGCTGGAGCGAATGTTGAATTCGGGTTCGGAGATCGACCGGTCTCGAGGACGTTGGTCGAATTTGAAGCCATGTCGAGCGTTCCGGTTCTTGTTTTTCGGTTTGTTTTTCTCGCAGCCGAGTTTGAAGCGACATTCGTTTCGGCTCGAAGGGTGTGCGTCTACACGGCCGCCTTTGGCATATGTTTTCCCTGGTTCTACATGTGGCTCTAGTATCGCATTGCTCTAGCATCTTCCCACTGCAATGGTTTCAGCATAACCTCGTCAATCAGCATCAACATGTATCACCATCCTCAGTCTTTCCCCCTCCCAGGGGTCGACCAAAACGTTGTTTTGGCAATCTCGTGGATCGTTTCCGTTTTCTCCTTGTTTTCTTTTTGTTTTAGTCTTTGGCCCACCACTGGCCAATCACGATGTCGGATTTGCGCCGAATTTCTGGGCCATCGGCCGGATCGTTTTCCTGTCACAACCAAAGCGAAACGCAAACGCAAAACACTGCTTTGGGCGACCGCTGCCCCCTCCCCTCCCTTTTCCCTTCTCCCTTCCTCTCCTCCTGAGCTCCTCCTCTCCCTCGATGTCTGTCCGCCCTTCGCTGCGGGCAGCCCCCCCCCCCTCGTTCGAGCCACAGGTGGTGGCGGCGCGTTGGGGCCTGGTGGCCGCGTGGCGGCCTTAGATTAAGCAGCTCTGGGCAACATCCCGCTCTTGGTCCCTGAGCGCGGCCGTGCAGTAAATATCGCAGGCCTAGAGGTTGACACCGATATCGGCGGTGTGCCTTTGTTGAGGGAAGAAGATCCCGACCTCGGTGATGGTGGTAATATTCTGGCTTCCAAGGTGGCCGAAACATTACCACCAACACCGAACTCTAGGATCATCTTCCCCCTGTGGAGGCACCCCTCTGTGTTGGTGTTGGTGCCCTTTTCCAGGCCTCAAAGTCCCATCCTTTGCCAGTCTTTGTGTGCTGCTGGCGCAGCTACTGCTGCAGCCGCTGCCGCTGTTGCTGCTCCTAAGATGCGGCCCTTTGTGGGTCAGCCTCCAGGGACTGCCTTTGCCGTCAAGTGCCCCCTTGGGATGGATCGAGAGTTTGCGTCTCACTGCTGAAGCGTCCTCCAGCCTCTCCAGACTTTGTTCGTTGGCCAGCCAGTGCTACAGGGTCCGCAATATACGAGGGTGTCGTAAGTAGGTAAATCGTAGTAGTATCGAAGATGCCTACGGCGAGCTACCGCCGCCCCAAGCCTTTCTGGAGCCGCCCACGTGGCCACATGTGGGACTCTCTTTGGCCATCTTCGGGATAATCCACGCTGTCACAATCTATGACCGTCTTGGGGCATCTTGGAAACCATCCGAGGCTATGCCGGCCATTGTGGGTGCGCTTTTTCTTGATTTTGGGGGGTGGTTTTGGGCTCTGGCTGGTTGAGTCGAAGAGCACTTGGAACCTTTTGGAAGGGCGCTGTAAATCCTGGCACGCCAACGCACCTCCAGCAGGCTGTGTGTGGCGGCGGATCGAGAACCACCGCCGTCCCCAGCCTGAGGGGAACGCCAACGTGGCCAAAAGTTTGCCATAGTCTGGCCAATCCATTGGGTTTATATTCCCACCAGCCACTGTGGAAACCCTTGGGGGAGTATTTGGGGAGGGGAGAGGGAGAGGAGGACAAGACGGAGTCTAAGGGGGACGAGGAGAAGGAAGAGGCGTCTTGGGTGCCTCTCTGGGCCGTCTCAGAGTACTCTTGACGCGCTGGGCTTTCTTGGAGGCCATCTTGGATCGTGGCACGTGTTGGAGGCCATCTTTGGAGGCAGCTTGTTTTGATTTGATATCTGCCTGGGTGCGCCCAGGTGACCGGCGGGTTGGGCCAGAGGCCTTCGGATTTTTTCCCAACCATCCTGAAGTGTTGGGTCCTCGTTTTGAAGAGACAGCGCCCCGCGTCACTCCTCCCGCTGCCCCCTCCCTCCCTCCTCCTCCTTTTCCGAGATGGGGACGCTGTGGGGCCCTCCTGTCTCGCAACGTGCGCATCCGCATCATCATCATCATCATCATCATCATCATCATCATCATCATCATCATCATCATCATCATCATCATCATCATCATCATCATCATCATCATCATCATCATCATTATCATTATCATTATCATTACCATTATCATTATCATTATCATTTTCATCATCATCATCATCATCATCATTCCGTAGCCATTTTGGCTCAAGGCCAAGATGGTATTTCATTAACTGGCTCCCATCCATTCATCCAGAGTCTCCTTCTCATGCGTTCGCAGCACCAATCAGGGGTGAGCTGCCACCCATTGCGAGGTTTTGTCATCCATATCTTAGCTGTCTCAGCACTCCATATCTCCTGGGCTGCGTTTCGGACAGAGACGGCGCGCCTCATCGAATCCTGACAGCGACACCAGTTGTCGACCGAATGGGTTCTGATAGCGGCTCAGGTTCCAGTTCGTCCAATTCCAGTGCTCCCCCACAACATCGCTCGCATCATCGTCGCCACGGAACACACAATGGATCACGCAGCGATCGAGGGGTCTCCACCACTCCTGCAGCCAGCAGGGAACAGCGTCGCGATCGACAAGGCCGCGCGCCAAAGGAACCACCAGCTCGGCACCGATAGCGGGGAGGACGTGACAAAGGTTCGCGTCGGCCAGGCAGGTCGGGTGGAGGCGCATCGAGACATCAACTTCAGCAGCAGCAGCGACAAACAGCATGAGTTTGTCAGCTCATGGAGGGAGCCGACGTCCTTCCCACATTGCCAGATCTTGAGAGGCCCCGTGCTGACCCGCTTCGTGATCGAGATCCATGGGCAAATGCGAGTGCTACTCCAGTCGATGGGCCACCCACGCCAAATACTCAACAATGTGCTGGCGGACATGGTGCTGGGGCAGGCCTGGCGCTGGAGGCCAGGCTCACGACCATCTTCACCGAATAGATGCAGCTGTCCGAATCGAAACTCCAGGCAGAGACCACCTCCTATCCTGCAGCCGGCCACGTCCACTCTTCATAATGAATTCCAAGCAGTCATCGGTCAAGCTCGCCAGCAGGACACATTGGATTACGCGGTCAGGGGCATCAATCAGAGAGCCCATGTTGTCGAGCAGGAGCAGCAGCAGCTGCGCGCCGACGTCGAGCGTATCCAGGCCAGTCTCGCTGTGGCAGAGGCGGCGCTCCCACCGCTCGACATGGCAGCGCTGGCAGTCTGGGATTGCCCACCAGACCCTGGCCCCTATTCCATTGGTGCAGCGACAGCAGTGCAGCCTTCGCAGGTCCGTGGGGCCCTGGAATCATGGATCAATGCAGCTGGTGTGGCCATTTCGGACGTGGAGATGGTCGGTGACGTGCCATCCAGACGATTCTACTTACGGGTCCTGGGCGGCGCTGCAGCGTCCTCTCGTGGTGCTTCTCTGGCGAGGAACCTCCGCCGACGGGGCAGATGGAGGCGTCTCTCCTGCAGCGACACCAATGGCGCCGTCGCCCCGCTCTACATCAACGCAGGCAGGCCCCCAAACACTCCGGAGTGAAATCCAGACGAAGAAGCTCGTTCAAATACTTGGAGAACGGCACGTGAGACATTTCTTCAGGAAGGTGGGCAGCGGCGGGGTCGTCTCCTGCAGTGCCGCCCCTCTCGTCAGTGTGATGTCCGGGACAACGCCTCCGCTGCCGCGCAGCTCAGATGGGGCGGGGCAGCTATTGCTAGACTTGGGACTGACAAGCAAAGCATTAATGACACATTCCAACCTGTTTTTCGCGCCACCGACACCTCGCTGTGGTCTATTTAACGGTGGGCGGGCCCCGCGGCGTATCAACCAATGAAGTGCCGACTCAAGATCAGGGCAAGTGATGTCTTGGAATGCGGGGGGTCTCTGCTGCCGCAACGTGCGTCGAAGAAGAAAGAAGCTGCTTCGATTTGGAAGATACTTGCGCCGGGCTTCTCTCATTGTGCTTGAAAATGGCGCGGTGTTCGGCGACATCATGGAGTGCTCATGGCGCCCTGTCCCTTTCCTTTTCGCGCGTGGCACTCGCGGGCAACGCAGGCATTGAATGGATGAGTTGCGTTCCGCCTGCCATGGGATAGTGATGTACTACCAGCACAACGCCCTCAGGTTCAATTTCATGCCCTAGTTCCTGGGCGGATTGCTGCTCTTCGCTTCGACTCCGCTGATGGCCGCTACTCTATGTTGGTCATGACTGTGCGCAACTTTGACATTGCCCCCATATTCAAACAACTTGTTGCCAACGCTTGGAAGGATGCGGTATAATGGAATCGTGGTGGCCCCCGTCACCGCGCGTTCATTGCCATGGGTGACTTCAACATTCGCGATGGAGAACCTCTCAGTTACGATGAGCCGACTCCATTGCGAATGCCATTACCGACGGCGCGGACATTCCAGCTGAATGGGGTCTTTTTACGTGCTCTCTTGGATCTAACGCAGAGGTGCAGGCCGACGTCCCAACCCACTACAGTCGCCAATAATACACCGCCTCCGCCATTGACAGGGCCTCTCTTGCCATGCCCGAGCACTTCCTCCTCGACGCGGATGTCTTCCTGAATGTGGATTCCGGCCCGCTCGAGATGTCCCGGGGGAGGCTCAGCGACCATTCCATGCTGCTGCTCGACTTCGAGTTCAAGGCGCCGGGAGACGCCGCGGACCATCGCATCCCAGACGTGGTGTTCAGCGACGTAAGGTATGAGGTTATACTGGAAAAGCTTATGGCCGCGGCGGAACTGGATCGTTTCCCTCCTGTTATCGGATGGCAGCATCTGAAGGATATGATGATTGAAGCGGCTCAACAAGCTCGAGATGACTTGCAGCGGCTTTCCTTTCGTGCAGGTGACAAGCGTGCCAGAGGGGGGCGCAGCATCGCGCTGCGTAGCATCTCTCGCGCTGTCTGGAGACAAGATGCGAAGCTCGCGGCGCTCGTCGCCGCAAGTTCAGACGAGGGCGCCACGTATCTTCAACTTCGAGACGGGCAGGTTTAGCTTTTCGCCGTCAATTTCGTCCCCTGCTATTTGTTGAGCTCCAGGCCAACCGCGAATGTGCAGTACCAGCAGCTCGACGTGCCCTACGAGGTGGTCAACAGCAGGTGGCAGCGCGCCACTTCAAACCAATCGAGGATATTCGCCGCCGTACCATGCTATGGGGACCCCGAGGCCGACGTCTCTTTCTAGCAGGGGTCCGTCCTGAACATGCCCTCGAGTCCTCCCAGTCGGCAACCGCCAGAGATCCCAGCAGTGTCTTGGAGGCCCTTCGACGTCGCTGGTCAGCGGTCTTTCGGGCACAACCAGCCAATCGACTGGAGATCAGACAACGCCTGGAGCGACGCTATCCGGCCTGCGAGATGGCCGACCTATCTGAGCGAGCAGCAACATTAGCACCGCCATCATCGACCAGGCAGCAGCTTGGTGGAGAGCACGAGGCGTTAGCTCCTACAGAGATGCCCAGTTAGTACTCGCGTCGGACCTTAAGAACACGCTCATACATGTACGTGTCAGTGCTCCTGGTCCCGATAGGCCCCCCTGCAGGGCTGGGGTGGTCTCGGGGGGCCGGATCGCAGCCCTGCATGGCTTCTTGCAGCACCTCATGGCGGTCCACCGCGCCAGAGGCCCTGAATGACTCCATCATCGCGTTCTTGCCCAAAGGAAGTGAGCCCAGCGAT